ACAAATGACTACATCAACCAGCCACCAGCCGGCATCCAGGGGCACTGTCCCCCAGGTAGCGACCTAATAGGTGGCTGGAAATAAGTACGGTTCCCACCAGAGGACCTGATACCCACCAGTGATGGCTGCCAGGTGCTGGGCCAATCAGAGTTTACCGAAGCCTCATGCCATGGCTTTCCATCGCTAGGACGCCCTCTGCCATTCCACATTCAAACTCTGCAGCCTGGATGGCCCGGAAAGAAAACGAGCATCTCGGAGCTCAGTGTCAGATGTTCGAACTTCCCCCCCTGGAGTGGGCCTGTGGAGTCTCTGTAGCACACGTTTCCTGCACAGGGAGGGTCAGACCTAACTAAGCACCCCTGAGCTGAACGCCCCCATGGGTAAGAAGCCAACACAATATTTCTGCCTTCCGAGACCGGTGCACTCTGCCCTGTGCTACTTTTTATTATCTGTCACTTCTTATCAGGAAAGAGTCATCATTTTAAAAGAAGTCACTTTAAGGACCAGCAGTTAGTGTAATGGCTATGTCGCTGAACTCCCATGTAGCCGGCCATGGTTCGAGTCCTGGACCTGGTGGCTTAAACTCACAACGGGCACGTGTGCATGCGTGCCCAAGATCCCGAGAGGAGAATGGAGGAGAAGGGACTGCGGCGTGGCCATCCCCCCTGGGGGGTGATTTCTCACTTTCTCTCTCTCTGTCTCTGTCTGTCTTTCTGGCGAGCACACACACCCTACAGCAAAAACCTCTCCAAAAAAATAAAAAAAAAAACAGAAGTCACTTTAACTGTCATCAAAGCAAAATCATTCCTCCTTGATCTCTCTCAAGGACTCCACTATAGAACAAATCCTGACGGGAAACAAGACAAGGTAAAAAATTTACAGTACAGGCTTCATGATGACAAAAAGAAGTTTCGATCCTCCTGTGATGACGACAGGCACACACTCAGGCTCCACACCTTTCTGTTGGGTTCTTTACGTTTCCCAAACCAGAACCATATGCTTCCCGAGTCCACATGAGGATTCGTGCCTATGGTCCAAACCAACCATATGATTCATCTATGCAAGAGTCTCATGAGAAAAAAAATTAGGACCGATTCCTGGGGCTGGAGCAGGCATCAGATGGATAGCTACCCACCACTTGGCATCGAGACAGAACTACGACGTGCAAATGCATTTAGACCAGCCCAGCGGGATGCAGCTACAGTGCTTCGCAAGTCATGTCTTCAGGTAGGCAAGCACCGCGTTTCGTTCACTCATTCACATCGACGGCCCGTGTTTGTCACTATTGTTACCTCACACATACACCCTCTACACCTGTCTCTAAGGCTCAGGGCACAGGGAGAGGTTTCTGCAGTCTGAGAGGAGGTCCTGAGGCCACCACTAGACTCTGATCTGAAGAGAAGCACTGAGCATAGGCAGAGTGAAGCAGAAAGCCCAAAAAGCATCGACCACACAAACCTTCAGAGATTTCTGAGCTCTGCCCTTTATCCCTCCTCCGTTTGCAGCAAAGCCACCCCCTTGGCAGTCTGGAATCCCCTTCACACCCTTAAATCTCACAGCACGAGAGAATTTACACTAATGTGGGCAGGAGCTAGGGGCCAGGAGGGAAAGGTTATCCAAGAGTACTTATTAACTGGTGCAGATTTGGAGGCGAAGTTTAAGTTAAGAAGAAGAAGCCAGCTGGAGCAGTCTGTGCTTAATACGTACTGAAATACGGGTGGGTATGCAATAGGAACTGGGGAACAAAGGTAACTAAATTTCGGGCGAGTGAACGGAACCACTCTCGAGGCTGGCTCTGGCCTATGGCTCCCTCTTTCTGTGGGACCCAGGATGCAGCAGCTTTCTCAAGGATTCTGACAAACAGGGCCCACTAGAAATCAGGAGAGAAGACGTGTTCTAACCCACTGCAAAGAATAGTGCTCGTGCACCCCACTTCATTCTTGAGCTTTATAAACGGAAGTGGGTATGAAGTCAGTAGAAGTCAGTTTCAAGTACAAATACAGTCTTTACGAAATGTAGCCACAAGCAGAGATTCAGGCAGAGGTGACCAAGGAGAAATATAGGTACCCTTTTAGCAAAATGCTTCTGAGGTTCACCCATGTTGTTGCATGTATCAGTAGTTTCTTTTTATTTTTTTCTTTAAATTTTATTTTGTTTTGTTCCAATGCCATGATCCACCCTCAGTCCCAGCCGGCCAGGAGCGTGGCCATGCACACTGTATTCAGGGAAGTCCCAGGAGGTGAACCTAGGCCCTTGCCCATATGGGCCCAGCTGTGCCACTACCTGGCCCCGTTTCTTTTACTGTCAAGTAGCACTATATTATATGGATATACCCAGTGTGTTTGTGGATAGTAAGATATTTCTAGTTTTTTGCTATTATGAATAAAACTTCTGTAAGTATTCATACACACACAAAGAGATGTGTTTTGCAGTGTATTTGTTTCAGAAATTCTTCAAGGCATATACTCTAAATCCTTCAGACAATATAAATAAGTGCTATTTTCTGAACCTTCCCAAGGCATTTAAGGTGGCTGTGGACAGACGGTGGGAGCAACACCGAGGCCTAAGAACAATATCCCACTGTTCTCAGCACACCTTACACCTCAATTTCAGAAGGACTCAAGCTCAGTTTTTAGCAGACTATTATTAATGATTCTGGAAAGTTTTGAGTAAATTCTATTTTTGTGAATTAAGTCAGTCCTGCTTTTATTTACACGATAATGTATTAAAGTCTTTCATATTCCAAAACCTATTCAGTCCATCTTCAAGACTCAAGAGTTTCCAGTTTCTTATTTATAGGGACTTAAGTGCTGAAAAACAGGGGCCTAATTGTTTAGGGCTTTCCTTTCACATCCTGAAAAATCCTCTTGGAAAGAAGAATTGAGGGCTAGTCGCTGGCATGATGATTAAGGCAGCTGCATCCTACAGGGGCTGACTGTGTAGTTCGAATCCCAGACCTGGAAGCTTGGAAAATACTGGGAATGTGGCCGAACGAGCATGGGGTTGTGGTGTGGCCGTCCCCTAGGCATGCTCTCTCACTGTCTCTCTCTCCAGCAAGTACACATGGACCATAGCAAATAAATAAATAAATGAGGAAGAGTTGAAAACTTACCCATTTCTTCTCTTAGTTGTGACCGATCAAGCTCGGGGTTCTCATCTAGCAGACAGCCACGTAATGAGGCTCGTGTACAATAACGACTAAGAGCTAATTGAGGAGGGACCCAAGAGGAGGTGTATAAAGAACTCTTTCTTCCCGAGAAAGCTCTCTCAGAGGACTGCCAGTGCTCTCTGCACCTGAGCGAGCGCACGGCTCGTCTGTGCCAGACGGTCTGCAACCGAACAAACGCCGAGTGTGAGGAAACGAGAGGCGCTACGACGAACTCAGCAGAAGAAAGTCACTCTTGGCCAGCACCATGGCCCCTGATGGCCCCTGGAGAGAGCCAGCGCACTCTACCGGGTGGACACCGAGAAGGGGGGGCTGGGCTGCAGACTGTGTGACCTTGGGCAGGTCCTTTGGCCTGGCATTCTCAATTTCTTTACTAAAGTGAAGGAGCCTGACCTTACCGACAGCAAAAGCCACTACACCGCTAACATCGCGTTACACCTTTGAAATTCAGCCTGCAAATGGGTCGCAGAGTTATCTGGTGGGCAGAAGACTCGAAGGTCTCAGAGCGAGTGAGAGGGGAGAGAGGAGCCTTGTTTTATCTGACTGGCACAATTCTCAGACCTGCTTTGGTTGGAATCCTCTTCCCTGTTTCCATAAATGCAGCATTAAAAGTTCTTCTAGAATCCAGTAAGATGGCTTGTTGTCAGGGAGAAAGAGCTCTTCAGAGCGACAAGGACAAGCCCAAACTGGCAGGCCGGGCTCAGGTCCGACAGACACACTATGTTATTTTGAGGTTTCTAGAAACCTTCCCCAGGTGACCCTGAAAGTGTCAGAAATTCACAGATCACAGCAGGAAGCCACCGAACTAGAAAACACGCTTCTCCGTGTGGCACAGATTCACGGACATGGCACTTTCTGGAGAACGAAAAGAGGTCACTGCCTTTAAACACCAGGAGGTGACCCAATCAATACAGTCCCTACAGTGATGGATCACTTAAGTATCAGGATCAAAACAAAAACAAAAACAAAACCTCCTAATCGGCATTACGGTGCTGCGTAAAGGAGGGAGCTCAATTTCTCCATTCCAGAATAGGACTTCCAAGAGAAGAGACCACTGAGCTACTCAGTTATTAGAACAATACACCTTCAACATTTCACCATCCCATAAAAGTACTGTCTGGTGACAGGTCTGGGATGGGGCCAGGGCACAGGACCCAGCTGAGAGGAGGAATGAGAAGAACTGACTGAGGAGGACGCCAGGGAGGGGCTGGGAGCAGAGGCGGGCGGACGCGGGGAGAGCGGGCGGACCATCATGAAACAGCAGTTACAGCCAACGGGGAAGCTCATGTTCATTTTCTCGCACGAGTCCCCTCTACGAATCTACATACTGGATGTGGCTGTTAAAAAAACGAAATGGCAGCATATATAAACACCAGACCTTAAAGTGGGAGGAAAAACCTATTAACAGTTAACTCGAGTAACTCTTTAGCTGCCTGGCAAGAAAAAAAAATACCGCTTGCAGTCCATCCGCTAGCCTAGAACATGCCGAAGCGAAGTTGCAAAGCTACCCCAGCGTTCTGAAAGGAAGCATACACATATGTTCTAAAACGAGGGAAAGATCACAAAGTACAGTCCTTTCAGCGTTTAGGCCAAAATCTATTCACCAAGAAAATCAAACACTGACACTTTCTCAGACGTTCTGGGTGAAACATTCCACACTGGTTAATAATGAACTGGTAGAGCATTTCTGTCGATGGGCTCTAAAACTACGTGCCTGCTTAGAAGGGAAGATTTCTGGTAAATCAATCACTCAGGAAAAAAACAATCGAGGAAAATTCTACTTTCAGAAAGATCTACCCTAAAGGAAATGCAAGCCTTAAAAAAGCACACTCACGTTTCTCTGTTTTTCCGTCAAAGCCGGGCTCCAATCACCCAACTTTGCGAGCAGAGCAGCTTCCGTACCTGCCTCCCGGCCCTGCTGGCCCCTGCTGGTATGTCCGACCTCCGTCCGCCAGCAGAACGCTCCCGGCACATTTCATCATTTCCTGCTGGCTGCTGAGATAAGGTCCTTCCCTGCACTGCCGGGCTCAGTGCACAAGCACGGGGTTCCAGGGCACACACAGACACGCTCTCTTTTCAGAAAGTGGCCAAACAGAAGCCTCAGTATCTCCGTGGAAAACCAGAGGGAAGGCGTCTGCACCAGAATTCACCCCATCCCCCAAGTCACCTTGCAGATAAACTGCCTGGCGCTGCACATCACGCTCACAGAACCTCGGCTGCTTAGGAGACGGCAGAGACATGCTGTGTGGAAGACGCACGCACCAGCAGCCACCGTGTCAGGGACTTGCCTGCACCAGATAATCGTACATCGTCCCTAAGTGGCAAACACTGTGACCACACACACCACCACAAGGCAGCTTGGTTGTGGAGGACACACAGAAAGCTTGATGTGGGAGACAGGCCTGGGGCCATGGGATCCCCTGGAGACAGGCAGGAAACCACACCATCTCTCAGTAGCACCCACTGTCTCCTAAGAACTAGGGCACTCAAATCTGCAGGGCATCTTCAAAACAAAAACACCCTGCTTCATACATACATATATACATACATACATATATATATATATTTCTTTTTTTAAACAAAGAATTAGAAATAAAGGCAAAAAATAATAATAGAACTTTAGGTGAGGAGGAAGAGATTCTACTTTCTAATTTTAGAAGGTATGTGCTGGGCAAGCAGGTGACGTATTAATTAAGGCAGCCGGATCCCACATGGCTGACGGCACGGTTCAAATCTTGGACCTGACAGATTGAAAGTCACGCCAGGCACATGTGCATGCCTGCCTAAAATCCCAAAAAGGGGAGAAAAAGAGAAGGGATTGCAGTGTGACCATCCCCCACAGGGGGTGCACCCTCACTTTCTCTCTCTCTCTCTCTCTAGCAAGTGCATGCCATCTTTCATAAATTACATCTTTAAGTTTCAAAAAAGGTGGGAGACAGCAGGTGTGGGAGACAGCAGGTGATGGTTAAGGCACTGGACTCCCACATGGGCCACCCATGCTTCAAGTCCCAGGTCTGGCAGCTTGAAAATCACACCAGATGCATGTGCGTGAGTGCCCAAAATCCTGGGAGGAGAATGGAGGAGGGAGGATTGCAGCATGGCCACCCCCACACACACCCCTTCACTTTCCCTTCCACTGTCTCTCTCCAGCAAGTGCACACACCCTATAGCAAAAAACTCAACAAACAAACAAACAAAAAAAGGTATGTGCTGATGAAAACACAGACTGTACAATTCCCCTTCGGTAAAGCAACAGAGGCACGAGGACGCTGTGCTGCTTGGAACTGGGACAGGGCCAAGGGGCAGGTAGGAAGGGGATGGGACCAGCAGGGCTTCCAAGGAGCACTCTGGTATTTGAACTGGCATGAGTGTGCTGTGCTCATGCAAACACATTGATATGCACACTTATCACCTGTGTGCTTTTGTGGATTGTATTATCTTCAGTAAAAAATTTTTGTTTTGTTTTGTTTTGTTTTTGAGAGGTTTTTGCTATAGGGCGTGTGCACTCGCCAGAAAGACAGAGAGAGACAGAGAGACAGAAAGCGAGAAATCACCCCCCAGGTCGATAGCCACGTCGCAATCCCTTCTCTTCCATTTTCCTCTTGGGATCTTGGGCACGCATGCACACGCACCCGGAGTGAGTTTAAGTCACTGGGTCCAGGACTCGAACCATGGTCAACTACATGGGAGTCCAGTGACATAGCCATTACACTAACTGCTGGTTCCCTTCATTCAAAAATGTTAAGCTAAAAACAACTATCATGGCCCAGCCTGGTGGCAGAGTCCAGTGTGCAGAACAGCAGTACTGGAACCTGCCCAACTGCAGCTCAAATCCCCAGCCCAGTGGACCTGAACTATGCCTGGCATGCATGCCCAAGATCCTGAAGAGCAGAGGACTGGGGAAGAGATCGTGGTATGAAGAGACCCCATTGAGGGTACTCTGTGTGTGTGTCTCTCATGCACACACACATGCTATCGTGAATTAAAACAAAACAAAATCAAACAACCCAACCACCTTGTCTTATAACGCAAAACAAAGTAAGTTTAAAATCTCCAAAATCTTGTGTTTAGAAACTTCTTAATGGAAAAAACACCAATAAACCAAGACCATATCAACTGAGACTAATCTGATGTATAATAATAAATAACACCTGGAAAATTACCACCTCACCCCATTCCACCCCAACTCCAAAAAACCAGAGTCTATGCAACACAGATGTCACCGCGCTCTGTGGCAGTTCAACTAAATCGATCACACCGTCGGGGGCACACACACAGGACAAGGTCATCCACACCTGGTGAGTATTCAGTCCACCAGCCAAGCCCCTGAGTCTGGTCAAGCAAGCAGATGGTCCTCCTGTCCTCTCCTCATGCCAGGACACACTTTACTGTCCCACCTAGGGGATAATCAGAGGAAGATAGTGTAGTTCATTGTCTGTTTCTCTTTATTTTTAACTCTTAAGACTTCCACTCTCTCCGTTTTCCAGCCGAGACCACACAGTATAAAGAGGTTCTATAACTTGCCAGTGTCCCACAGCAGGACTGGAGGATTGTGGGGGGGGCTGGGGCAGGGGCAGGGGCAAGGGCAAGAACTGTACCGGGCTGTCAGGTCCAGAGTCCTGACCACACCCAGTCTCTCCACACTGGTTTCCTTGAAGGATCAGAAGTGAGTCTTGAATATACCTGCCACTTAACAAACATTAGAATTAGAACTGAACAAAGGATGCAGATAGAGCTTGCCCCTGGCCCAGGGTTAAGGGAGCCAGAACTCACACACCCAACCTTGGTTCAAATCCCAGTTCCGTGGCTTGAAAACACCGGGCACATGTGCGTGCATGCCCAAAATCCTGACAGGATGGGGAAACAGAGAAGGGCCTGCCTGCAATGTCACTATGCCCCACTGAGGGGTGCTTCCCCCCAACCCACACTGGCAAGCACATATACTCTCTGGCAATTAGGAGAAAAAGAAACCCCAGAGTCTCTGGTATCATCCTCTACCCCCAGCCTTGCTCCACCCCACGGATGCACTGTCTCTCACCAGGGATTCTCACAGCGAATGGCGCAGTAGCTGGGGTCGAGAAAGCACTGCAGACTGCTGCTCTGCTCCAGTCCCCACACTGGGCGAGAGCTACCAGCTGAGGCAGGGCACCTCAGTGGCAGGTGCTGGGTGGGAGGTGGGGTCCCTACAGGTCTCTAACGACAGTGCCAGGTGGTCCATCATTGGCAGGGGGGGACCAGAAGGAGCCGTCTGAGTACAAGCCCTGCATCTCGGGGAACGCTGACCTCGCGTCTGTGGGGACGCAGACACCGAGGTCAGACGGCTCCCACGAGCGGAGTTGTGCTGAGAAGCCAAACTACCCAAGGACTAGCCCTCCTCGAATGCTGCAAAAGTCGTGTACGTTGGGGAGGGGCCTACACTACACTACACTACACTCCTGCAGTGCCCAGATTTCTGTCACACATCTCCACGCGGGACGTCAAAACCTGACTGCACGGCACCGACGCACAGTGGAGAACCACCCGGCCAGTCAAAGGCACGCGCTAGGACAGTGCCACGTGCTCAGTCCCAAAAGGTGCCGCTGGGCACGGTCAGATGCAGAAGAGCGTGCCACTGTGCCCACAGGGCCGGCATTCGAATGCAGGCAGAGCCACTCCTGGGTCACAGGCCAGTGTGTGCCAGGGCCAGGGGGTGGAGTGGGACCTCGGAGCGATGGAGAGGATTCCTCTTGGCTAGGACAGTAGCCACACAGGTGCGGTCACCTGTCAGCCCTGAAATGGACGCGTCCAGCAGAGGGTAAACTGATTTCCCAATGAAGAAGTTGAGAGAAGGGGGAAGACAGGCGAGGAGGGCAGGGGAAAGGGGGAAAGAAGAAAAGCCTCTGCGGACCTCAGGGACAGAACCTCTCCTACCGGCCTCTGCACACGACGGGCCTGGCGCCTGCCATGAGCTGCTTTGCAGGGGCCTCAGGTCCAAGGACTGTGATTTGGTCTGTGTCATCCTAGCCTAGCGGATTTCATTAGGTCTCAATTCTCAGAACACCTGATCCTCTAGCACACCCTGATGACGTTAGTGCGGCCCAGTGGTCCACTTTCTAACCAGGTTCATTCAGGCCCTCTCCACTCAGTGCAGTGAAAGTGTGATGATGTCAGCGAAGCAGCTTCGAAGGGGCAGGTCGCGGTGACAGGCTCCGAGGCCTACTAGAGTCATAAGCCAGTAAGATGGAGCACAGCAACTTCGTGTTTTAACCCGCCTTTGTCTTCCGATGAGAAACACATCCTAAAACCCAGACACCCGCCCGCCCCGTCTGCACGGACGCTGCGTAGAAACGCTGCAGGGGTGGGTCGCGCGCCCGGCTGAGGGGAAGCGTGTGGCTGAGTCCTCGCTGCTAGCCAATCGTCTTTATTATGAACCAGGATGTAAACAGGGCCCTCTCACCTCCACTCCTCCTGAAGGTATCCGCAAAAAGGAATAAAGCAGACCAGATTCCTGAATTCCGTATCGAAGAAGAAGGTGCCAGACAAGGCTAAGCCCAGTTCTAACTTTGGCAAAGTAAAAGAGTCGAAACCCCTGACAGAGCATCTTGGTGTCTCTGGCACTTGGCCAAAGACAACAAACAAACAAACAAAAATCGGAAGGAATTAAAGCAGAAAGTCCACTGAGGAAAAAGTCCAAAAGCACCAACATGGTAAGAGGAGCACGCTCATTTTCTTTTATCATTTTTTAAAATCCTCCAGTGCCATTAGAAGGAGCGCCTGGACCTCTAACATGGCATCCCCGTGCTCAGCTGTCACTCAGCCCACAGTCCCAGTGACAGCGCGAGCTTTCTTTGGGCTAAGCACGGGGATGGCAAATTATCCCAGGAGAAAGGTCTAAAACTCAAGAAGGCACGCTGAGACTGCTCGTGGCGAGTCTGTGAGTCTTTTCAGGAATGAGTTAGGGAC